TACTTATGATTAAGACGTCTTCTATATCAGTTATATGGTAAGAAACAACGATTCAGTTCAGGAGTGGGCAAGGCAAGTGTCCCGCATGCAATGTAGTTGCTTATGAATTCTCAAAGGTTGTTATATGGTGGCTGCGCTATTGTACTTGACAATGCACCAAAAGGACAGAAATCTGTCGTCACCGGTGCCGTCGTTCTCAGGAATAAGGGTAACACTATTGGATGAAGAGTATATCGGAAAGAATGAATTTTCCTTTACTTGAGGCTATTACTAAGGAATTCATTTGACTTAAGTTATTTAAACATATTTGGAGAAAAAAAAACCTTACCGATTGCAGATTTCTCTTTTAGGAACAAGCACCACAGGTTTTTGGACAATCATTGATAGTAGAGAACGGGTTGCTGTGGCAGTGGTCGCTCAGGCTGGGGCAGTCCCACCTGTGATCTTCACAGGGGTCTTTGAAAAAGCAAGCAAATCAAACTCAAACATTATACCGGTATAATTTCGAGTAAAATACAGAGGCCCAAGCTTAATGCCGGTCAAAAATAAAAAGTGCAATTTTGTCGGCATAACAGTGCCGTTTTTCGACGAAACAACTATTAAGTTGTTTGTACCCCTGTGTTACACTGAGATACCGCGCTGTAGTTTATCTAAAGACTGCGTACTACCACTGACCCACCATAGTATACGGAATTGTTGGCAAGGCGCTTTACAGCCTTCTAATTTGATCCCAAGGTTAAACGAGGTGGAAACCTACTTGTAGCATCTTTCACAGTAGAAGGACCAATTGAAGCTGAGAAGGCTAGATTACCAAGCACTTACCGCAATTGACGGCACAGGCCTTGGGGCATTCACGTAATGTTGCATACGGGTTAGAGTGACAATGACCGTCCCGTGCCAATACGTTACAGTCCCAACGCGAATCCTCACATCCACCTAGTAAAGAATTGAGCATTTGCATAATTAATTTTAAACCTTTGCTCAGACTGTAGTCAGATAATCGATCAATTAGAATTAAATCAACGCGACACAACCTTATTGACAGAGTACACTAGTACAAAGTAAGTATTAAAAGTCATCCAAAATGAGTCTTTTTTTATCATTAAATAGATCTGTTTCCATGCCTGAAATCCCATGACACGGATTGCCTTTATGATGTTCTTCGTTCATAAAAGAAACTCAAGCTAACTTAAGGATATTAAAATGTTTGTTGTCACTGACTAAAAAAAGTTGTTTTGGACGTTTCGGTTAAAATACTGTAACCTTCTTCAGCATGAAAAAAAAAAATTATGCGTCATTGGCAATAGGCATTAAGCATTCTCAATACATAAAGAACTCATAGGAATCTGACCTTTTAGGATTTGAAAATGATGAACGAGTCATCTAAACCTCATTCGAAATTATTATCGCTACTTTTTATTCGTAAAACTTGGAGTTAAAGTTCATTCTCAAAATAAGTCTATTTAACACTCTTCAGGGTGTTGCTTTTCTTTCTGCATGGTCACGAAGGTAGGAAACCATACCTGCACCTGCAAAGAACAAACAGAAAAGAACATAAACAACGAGGAAAATTTGAAAAAGTTCTGATAAGTTCTTGATCATAAGAAAGCGTCTTGTACTTTTTATTGATGCTTGTTTAAGTGCATGACTCTATTCCCGCATGCGCACGTGTGCGTGGGCGGATGCTTGCGTGGGCGGTTGCGTGCGTGGGCGGGTGCACGCGTTAGTGGGCACGTGTAAGTTAGTGTGCGCGGTTGAGTACATTCGTAAGCAGTGCGTTCGTGAGTGTGCTCGTGCGCCGGCGTACTTTTTGATACTTACAATATCCGACGAGCATCAGCAAAAGGATTCCGCACTTGAAATACATGACTAGCAAATGGAGAAAGATAAGATACAGTCATGCAAGATTAATTTCATTAACAGCCTTTTTTCCAAACTCACAAGGAAAAAAATCTTTAAGTGTAAAAATTCAGTCAAACTATAAATAAAAAATTGGAGCTCTTAACCAGAAAAGCTACACTATTAGTACGTCTAAAATGTCTCTACAAAAAGTTCTTTGTAAGGCTTCCAAAAGGCTTTGCCGGTTTAAACATTTTTGAAGAATTTTTCTTTGTTCTAACAATTGTCCGGGATTATGAATGCAAAGAAGAAAAGATCTGACTAGAAATGCTTGCTAAACATAACGGTATGGCGATAGGGAAAAAAAAAAAGACCAGATGAGTGGCTAGCAACAACTCGAGGCAAATTTTATTCGTTCACGGAATTGTAGACAATAGTGAGAACCAAAACGGAGAAATAAAACTTTCAGAATTTAGACAAAGAGATTTACAGGAAAAGATCAGTCGAAGGTACTCCGTTGAGAAGAGCATCTACTATTCCCAATTTCTTCTATCCATTTTTTGTAACGTGTGGAATTTGATTAATATAATTGTAAAAATCTATTAACCATCGTGCAGTTTTCTCACGCATCACTGAGCGGTATGCCCGACTTGAA